TTGTTAATAATTATAAATTTAAAAAAAAGCAAAACGTATAAATAATAATAATAATAATAATAATAAGTTAATATAAAGTTATAAATTTTAGTAGCAAAAAAGGTTGTCGGTACAAACTGTGTATCGTAATTCTTTTATAGATTCTATCGTTGTTTACACGTATACACCTATGTTTATCTATGTTCTTTTTTTCTTTTTCTTTTGGAGAAAAGTTTGACGAGTTAGGCACGGGGAAAAAAAAACCCCGGTAGCTTGTAACGGTAAGCTTGTAAATAGGTAGAAAGAGCAAACAAACTTCAGGATGCTCGATTATTCTTCGAAGAATTAGGACGGCATTCAGTTTGGTTGAAAATCATGGGCGCATTGTCGCGATTCCTTCGAATGCATGGGCCAATTGCCTCTTTCCATTTCTTCTTCTTCTTCTTCTTCTTCATCTTCTTCATCTTCTTCATCTTCTTCTCTCCTGTTATTCTTCCTTTCTCTCTTTTCTTTCTTCTTGCGTTTTGTCGACGCGTCTCGTTGAAGCAGCCAGAGCAAAGAGTCTCGGCATTTTACCATTGCTCTCACCGAATGAGAGAGAGTCAAGTTTTCCGAATGTCGGGTAATGAGATTAGCTAGAGGAGAAACGGTAATCAGGAATAAAAATGCGTCAACCGGCGGCATTTACGCTAACTAATCTCCTTCAAGAGCTTGCCTCTAACATAGTTAGCCAAAGGCGCTTGCCTTTTCCAACGCCTGGCCGGCTTGTTAGCTTGATAATTGGCCATTTTTATGCTAAGTAGTCGCCCGGCTGTTACGAGCCGCGTTTTAGTTTCTCTTTATCTCAAGGTTTGCATTTAGAAATGAACATTTTCTTACCTAAGGTAAGAAAACGAACGAAGAAGATGGAAATAGAGAAACAGATAGAAAAAAAAATATATATATACACACACAACACACATATATATAAACAGGATTAGAAAGAGAGAGAGAGAGAAAGGACAGGAAGTCCCTTTTACCTTCGAATGAAATCGCTTTGTCCACGAAACTATCGATTCGACCTTTGCCGAACTTTTATTTCCTTTAGAATATTTTGTTTGTTTAACAGAACAAAAAAAATAAAATAAGATAAACTATTAATTTACGGTGTCATAAAAATAACATCGACAATGTAATGAATGTTATCAAGTTTGAAAAATTCTTTTTTTACTAATAAAATATTATCTATCGTCAAATAACGTATTGGATAGGAACGTTGATTATTTTCATTATCTCATCGTATTAAATCGGCTCGTCGACCATTACGATTTTCGTTGAATTTTCACAGACAGATAACTTCAATGATGACGACGTTGCCAATAGAATTACGGTTACGTTTATTGGATCGACTTTCACATCGTCAGGCGTCCTTCGGTAAAGAAAGAAAAAGGATAAAAGAAACAAGAGACAGGACTTATAACGTCAGAGGGTAAAAAGGAGAGTAAAACCCGACAGAAAGAGAGAGAAGGAAAGAGAAACAGAGATAAACAGAGAGAGAGAGAGAGAGAGAATTTAAGGGGTGAATAGGGGTGGGATGAAGAGAAACAAGGAAGCTCGAAAATCCATCTAGTGATTTCACAGGCAATTATGTCGAAGCATCCCGGTGCGGCTGAGTTACTCTTATTTAACGCCAATGTGAGCCGAAAACACGCCTCGACGAGCTTGCACCGCGATCCCGTTTGCGCAAAATTGTCAATGATAGAATGGCAGATTGAAACGTCACATTGAACGTCTAGCAAACAGGGTTTTCCTTTCTCTCCTCCCTTCATACTCCCACGCCTCCACACCTACGACCATCCCACCCCCAACCCGTTCAACTCCGAATGCGGAAAACTTCGATGCTACCGATTGATTCATCGATTTGTCCACGTCGTTTATTACAACACCGCGAATCCCGTTGGCGAGAGTCATGTTGTTGGTACCACGTGGAAAAATATTTATATTCGTGAACGTGAATTTAACGCCTGGTATGTTTGAAAAATTTCAAAATCTCTTCGCAAAACGGTCTCTCTCTCTCTCTCTCTCTCTCTCTCTCTCTCTCTCTCTCTCTCTCTCTCTCTAATGCGTTTGCCTATTTTTTTTTCTTTTTATCTTTTTTTTTTATCGAAGATAGATAGGTGACTTGTTGTTGGATCAATCGTACCTTTCAAATAATATCTCTCTTCTTTCTTCTTTATCTCTTTTTTTTTCATATTTAAAGAACTATTTACTATTTCTATTATTATGTTTGGTTTCCATTGATATAACCGAACCGACGAAATATCTCTAACCAAACTTATCTCATGTATTTATTAGACAAATTATAAAGATTTTCCTGGAGAATATAAAAAAATAAATAAAGGAAAAACACATCCCTTGTATAAATATGCCAGTCATACCAATGTCTTCTTATATTTATATATATATATGTATTTATTTGGTGAAGATTACAATATCTTAGTAGAAAAAAAAAAATATAGATAATAATTCTATTTTATGGTTCGAAGATCAAAGTATTGAACCCAAAAAAAAAAAAAATAATACAGAATATTGTAGATACCATAAGATTGATCTTTTAACGATAAACTGAAACTTTTTGACTATCTAAAAAATATAGAAAAACAAAATAAATAAATAAATAAAATTCAGAGAGGAGAAGAAAAAGTTCAAATAGAAAAATCATAGGATGACTGCTAACAAAATATAAAGAAACGATATATATATATATAGTATACTAAATAACACGAAAGAATATATGACGTAAAAGTCCAAAAGTTTCTCTGATAAATTGCATTCGAAAAGAGAAGTCTCTCCTCTCATTCACCTTTTCCTTACCCCGCAGCTAACCCTCGACAAAAGTATCGAACGATTCCTCTCTTCGCGGTGGTTGAATCGAATGAAAAGAAAGCAGCGGTAAGAGAACGATAATTCAATTACCGGAGACCTAGATAAATACGCGAACGAACGCGAGCTAGCAGCACCAACTGCGTTTCCAACCTTTCCACATTTTTCCCTCTCGTAGTAGTAGTAGTAATAGTAATAGTAGTAGTAGTAGTAGTAGTAGTAGTAGTAGTTCGATAGAAATATCGGAGAAGTGAATTTACGCATTTACGGGAATGTATTCTTTACGTTATTATCCTTTTTCCTACTTATTGTCATCCTTCGTTTGTAACACAATAGATTGTCTCCTCTATTTGAAGGGATACAATGGAATAAAAGAAAGAAAGAAAAGAAAAAAAAAAAAAAGAAATAATAAGGAACGAAAAAGAAATCCAAAATGATATTTTTATCGAAACGTTTTTTCTCCCCTACACCCCTTTTATCAAACTAACTTTAGTTATTTTAATAATTATAACGTTATTTACAATGTAAACAAAAGTTAAATAAACATAGAAATATACTATATATATATATATATAGAATAGACATCCAAGTTGATAGATAGACTATCTAAAGGCAGTTAACATTATCTTACAAAAAAAAAAACCCCTGTGGTTATCTTTCTTTTAGATATAAGAAACAACACGACTGGTGTGATCTTCCTAATCCCGAATGCTTGTAGGCCCTTTTAGAAGGACTAAATTGGAGAAACAGCGTTTCGTTGGAAAGCTACGAGCGATATCTTAGCCGCTTTACTCGTCTTGGCTAAGAGTAAAGAGTTAAGATCTATAATATAAGAGCAAGAGTAAGAGAGAGTATGCATGCACTATGTATTTGTATATGAAAGATAAAGAGGGATAGAAATAGAGAGAGAGAGAGAGAGAGAGAGAGAGAAGGTGGCAAGAACCGAAAGCCAGAGGCGGATGTCGCGCCGGGCTAAAGTTAAATTAAATCACGAGCGAAGGCAGCTAATATTGTAGTTTATCTGGCGGGACATTAGCGTCGGTGAAATATGCGCCGCCTCCTTCTCGGCAAAACTTAAAATCAAGATTTCCACGAAGTTCAAGCGCGCGCGACTAGGCTCGCGCTGCTAACTTACTCCCACCTATCCCAACTCAACCCCATCCCCTAACAACCTAACCCTCTTTCTCTTTCTCTATTTCTCTCTAGCTCTCTTACGTCCTTTCCGTGTTTCCTGCTAAGTCGCGCGTGAAAATACTAATTATTATACTGATTATTAATACGAAAAGTTGGCCGAGCCGCCGCTATACTACTACTTCAACCCGTTTCGCGTTACTACTCTCTACCTGCCGTTTAACGTAGTCTTCCAGAGAGAGGGTTGAGCAACGGTAGGATGTGGAAGGGAAAGGAAAAGGAAGAGAGAAGGCTCCGCCTTCGCGAGAAACCCAGCCATCCGGATTATGCTTATATGTATATATCTATAACCTACTCGGTTAAAACGAGGAAAAGACGAGTACCTGGATATCTCTATCCGAACTACTCTCTCAAATCTGTCTAAACGTTTTGTCGGAATAATATCAAACGTTTTTTTTTTTCTATCCTTACGAATTCTCTAAACAATAAATCTTCAAATCTGTCTGATCATTTTTGTATCAAATTATTCGTAAATCAATTATTTATGTTTTATTGGATCGCAGACAATATTGAAATATTAAACGTTTTGTTTTATATCTTAACATTAGCATTGTTTTATATTTTACAATATTAAAGTTCAATTTTTATCATTATTTATCAAAATATTTCATTTGCAAATATTTTTCAAAGTGTTTTATTATTTACTTTTTTTGTAATTATTATTAAAATGCGCGCCTGTATGTATGCAACTCTCCAGACACACTTTGAAAATGCTGCTTGCGAGCGCCATCTACTGGGACGGAATTTTTTTGCAGTCAAAACTGTTTATACACGCATGTATGACGGGTTGCCTATCTTTCGGGCAGAAAAAAATTCCGTCCCAGTAGATGGCGCTTTTCAAAGTGTGTCTGGAGGGTTGCATACAAACAGGCGCATATTTTTATAATTAAATTAATAATTAAATAAATAATTACAAATTAAAAGAACAAATAATATTATAATAATATTAAATAATAATTTATCCTCGAAAGTTGTTTATTTGAAGGTTTAACTTTTAACGTGTGTGATATGTACACATGTTTTTTTTTATTGACAAAATAATTGAATTATCTTGCATCACGCTAATGTTGATTTTTGATTCTTCAATATGTCCTCGACGAAAGTATCGTTTTTCGAGAATCTCGCATAACTAGAATAATCATTTTTATATGTTTATTAATATTGAAAAATATTGAATTGTTTATATTTAGTAACTTACATTCTTAGATATTTGTCTATTTCCTTTGATGAGAGAGACGGTTGAATCGACTTAGCAGACTCTACTAAATGTTCTTGAGTTACTTTTATATCCGAGGCTTGAATTTTCTCCTCCTATTGTTTAAGAAAAAAAGAAAAAGAAATTCATTAGACAATTGTAATATATATTCTTCAAGAAAACTTCGAGTACTATAGGCCTTAATCAAATCTTATATGTACAATGTAATGTCTATCTCGTTTCTTTCTTAATTACTAACGTAGACCTAAATGAACACATTATAAAGCTTATCGGTGTGCAAGGCTACTCTCCAATCGTGACGCGTTTAGGAAACTCGCTCGCTAATTAGACGAACAGTTTGGATAACCGTGTTCTTCCGGTAGGTAAGTATCTACCTAACTTTGTTTTCTACGAAGGAAGTTAATTAATAATTTCCTCTTACACGGAATGCCTCTACGTAACGGTGTCCTACGTAAACCGTCTTCCAAAATCTTACAAACTCATATATTATCCTTTATTTTATCTATTCATTTATGTCGATACTATTCTAACGATCCAACACAAGACACATTATCAAAGATCATTATTGATTAATTCAAACAAAACACCATCATTGTTGGAAAATACTTTAAATGTTTAAATGGAAGTTCCTAACAATCCATGACTACTTTTCGATCCTGCAGAAAGGACAGGATAGCATTATGGTTCTCTCTCTCTCTCTCTCTCTCTCTCTCTCTCTCTCTCTCTAAGTCGTGTATCATTATAACGCATAAGATAATAACCCCCTCGACGTTCAGCGAGGCGTAGGCCAAGATGAAGTGGAGCAAGATCGAGGGATGGTTCCGTACTCTCTCACTCTCCTGGCGTGTGCTAATAAACCTTGCTCTCTACATTTCTCCTAGGTTATATCGCAATACCTCTCTACAACTAACAACGATGGTGGCACCAATATTAGTGATGGTGCTGGTAATGGTGGTGGTGATGATACGATATAGTACGTACGTCCTTCATTTATATCTTATATGTACATATATATATATATATATATATATATATGTATATACTTGTCTATGTAAAACACAAACCTAACGATATTATCGTCATTACGTACTATCTTACTTCGGAAGTTCCCTACAAATGATTCTCCGTGAATCTCCCTTCATTCATAGAAAATGCTTTTCATTATTGGCGAAATGACTTAAGAAGGATCGTTAACGAAATGTCTTATTTTCACATAATACAATGATAATCCTTTATCATTTGAAAATCAAAAGTAAACTCAAGCAGACGTTTAATTGAGAAATTATCTATTATTAATATTAAGATATTTGTATTATTTACCGGTATGATTTTGACGGCATCTTCAAACGCAGCCAATTTAGCTTGGGTTATTATCGAGTTTAAATCGGCACCAGTTAATTCAACCGAAATACGTGCGATTTCTTTCAAATCTATTTCTGTTATGTTTATGTTTTGGGATTGACAAAGAACATGCAATATTTCTTCTCTTTCTACCTAATAAAATAAACATTAAAATTGGTGTTAAAACAATATTGATATGTTAATGATAAATATTAGAATATCTTATATACCTCATTTGGTATTGGACAATATAACGATTTATCCAAACGACCAGGTCTTAAAAGAGCTGGATCTAATAAATCTGGTCTAGACGTGGCTGCCACTACGGCAACACCTTCTCTGTCTTCAATACCATCAAGTTGGGTCAACAATTGATTCACCACTCTATCCGTTACACCTGTACTATCATGACCACGTCTGTAAAAAATATTAATTATCAATTTAATACCTTTGAATGAATCATTTGATTTCGAATAATTTACCTTGGAGCAAGACTATCGAATTCATCGAAGAAAAGAACGCATGGTTTAGCGCGAAGTGCTCTACAAATAATATTTCATTATGTATTATAATGAATTAATGTTTGATTAATCTTTGTTTTTTTTTTTATTTATTTCATTATAACATTGTATAAAGCATACCTTTCGAAAATTTTTCTTACAGATTCTTCACTCACCCCAATGTACTTGGATAACAATTCAGGACCCTAATCAAAACGAATGATACAAAATAAAATATATACATTTTGAAATACAATCGTATTCAAATAAATATTTTCGTACCTTAACACTAATTAAATTAACCCCACATTCATTAGCTATAGCTTTGCCTAAAAGAGTCTTCCCTGTACCTGGCATACCATACAACAAAACACCACTTTGAAGTTTGATAGGTGCATTTTGAAATATTTCAGGATACTTTAATGGCCAATGTAAAATCTCCGTCAATGATTTTTTAATTTCAACTAATCCTCCGATATCTGACCAAGTGTGATCAGATCCTTTATACAATTGAACACCTTGCAAAGACAATGGTTTATAATTTTTCAAGACATTAGAAATATCGTCCTCTGTTATAACTATCGGTGGTTTGATATCTTCTTTTGCTAATTAAAAACGATCGAATTAGAATATCATTCGTTGATTGTTGTTTTCTCATAAACGTTTGATATTTATTACCACAACGTTTCCAAGCTGCAAACGTCGCCTTATCTGCCACATCAACGAGATCTTGTACCATCCATCCCTCCGTCTTGTTACCATAGTAATCCCAATTCACGTTGCCAGGCATATACAACTTGTCCTCGAGCATTAATTGCAAAATATCGATTCTATCCGGCTGAGGTGAGACAAATTAACGAATGTATATATTCCAGATCGATGACACAAATTTGCATACGCGAATGATAACACACAATGTTTTTTTTTTTTCAAAGTATTTTGCAATTACAAAATTATTTTTACCTTTTCGAGATTTGGTATTGAGAGAATCGTTCGAAAAAAATTTGATCCTTTCAATGGTCTCATTTTTTTGCCAATGTTATTCATACTAACGCACGTAGCTATGATTGAAACGTAATGAGATTCTTGACATTGCGTTACAGCATTGATGATCATGTCAGTAACCCTAACATATTTTTGTGATAATATTGTATATACATGTTTGTTTGAATATTATTGAGTAATTATGACAGTGGTTTAAATAAACAAAAATATTGACAAAATTAATTGTAAGATTTATATTTATTAATATAAATCTTACAATTAATTAATATAAATTAATATAAATATAATTGTAATACAAAATACAATAAATTTATATTGTTTTATACCACTGTCATAATTACCATCACAATTAAGTTTTAATATATGTAGCATAATAAAATTTAGCATTTAAAAAATACCTAAATGCATTTACAGAATCAGGGGTATTATTCTCTTCGTTGTTTGATGATATCATAGTAATACTTTCGATATTTTCCAAAAATAGTACAGACGGTTGATGATAAATACATTGAGATATCGCTGCACATATGACTTTCTGTAACATTTCTACTTTTTTTCCTAAATAAGAACAAATAATTTATATTCACCTCATATTTAAATAACTTTGTTATCATCATTGACAAAAATGATAAATCTTTGTAATACTTGTAATAAATGAATACCTTTGAACGATATACAATCGATTAAATGGGTATGTACAAAATACGGTGATTTTTGTAATCTTTTAATTAATATTTTACATAAAGTTGATTTTCCTGAACCAACATCACCGCATATTAAAATATTTTCTCTATTATACTCGAGATTCGTTGGTGCATTTAATCGTAAACTGAGATCTAATGTTATTTGACATTCCGAAAGAATATTTTCTAAATGTCTGTAATATATGATACCAGTATTATATTTTTTGTATAAATCATATAGATAAATATTATATATTAAATATATACCTCGTAGAAATTTTGTCGTGAGAGTCATCCTCCATTTCATATTCCAGTGTTAACAAATCGTCCAAATCTAATTTTGATTTAAGATGAATCGTAATATTTGTAAGTAAATCTTTGTCGAGAAAAGCATGCGTACATTTTTCCGGTAAAAGTTTAACGATACATCGATTACCATCGTTAAGTTTAATTGGTGCACAAGAATTTAATAATACCTTTTGATGAATAGAATATCTTTGAAAAAAATCTTTGATATTTTGCAAAGACGTTGTTTGTATCATCGGATAAACTTCAATGGTCAATGGAATTGAATTTTTCTTAACTTCGATCGGTGATAAGACAACTTTTGCACCCATCTTTAAACGCAATCCAATTCTTACGCACTCAGAAATATAAATATTACTGTGAACGTAATCTAGCTTTAATTGAATTTTATCTATAACGTCTGGAAATTTATCCAAAAGGTCCTCCAATATGAAAACTTTCACCGTTAATTCCGAAGATAAACTTGGAATTGGTGATTCTATATTTTTCAAAAAATGTGTACTTTGTGTATTAACGTTTACTTGTTCCTCCGATACTTTTTTCATTTTACAAATAATACCATCATTCGTATATTGTATTTCTTTCGGTACGTGAAGTCGTGATACAAAAACGTTATAAGGAGATCTCAAAATAACATCGATTGAATTAGTATTATCAAACGAACTTAATTCGGGAAAGAAATGTACTCGATAAACAATCCATTGATTTTGTTCTCGTCGATAATTTTGTAACAACGAGTAATTTTTATCTATGTCATTTTTCTTATTATTCTCAATCTCCGAAAAATATGGTATTAATTTTTTTAATTTATTACACAAATTAAATCTATCATCATCGTTTGATGATTCTATTTGTTTGTTTACAGTAGTTCGAATTTCATTAGTCACGTGAACTTCCGTAAATTGTTCCAATTTTCCATAAGAAAAATTTGGTTCGAGCATTTCTGTAATCGATTTCAAATATCAAATAAAAACAAAATAATATATATATCCCACAAATAAGATTCAATTTTAATTATAATTAATGTAAAAAAAATCACTTGCCTGTAGTTACAACTATAGTTGAAAATTTCGAGACCCAAATTACTATGGGCTGATTTTTCGCAACTATTTGAATTTTATTTAACAAAGTCGATTGTATTTTATCGACTTGAAGTTCCTATAATGGAATTATAAAAAGTGTTAATATTCTACTATCATATTGGTAAATATACATAACGTTAATTATTATATTAATAATTGTCGTTATAACTTTACCAATATTTCACGATCTTCATTTGTTCGTGGAACAACTGTTATACTCATCAATGATGATACATCTTTTACAAAAGATACAAAAACTTCATCACCTTCCTCTATATTCAAAGATTTCGCAAATGGCGCAGAAAGACATAACGCTTTATCGGTAATTTGTCTCGAACTACATGATAAAAAGTAAGTCGAGTCCTTGTGTAATACCGAGATGACATTATTCTGCGATAAATAATAGCAATAATTAGATTAATAATAATTAAAAGAAAAAAAAAAACATCAAAAAAAAAACATTCAGTATAAATAATTAATTTAAAAGATGAATAAAATTATCGACATATGGTAAGGTCGATAAAATAAAAAAAATGTCAAATCGGATAATGCTGTCATCTAGCGAGAAGAACACAAAATATATGATAATGAAACAAGAGATAATAGATATAATATTACTCAATCGGTTATATTGTTCCAAATTTATTCCCCTTCGCACAGGTAGCGTAAGATGATTAGCATTATTATAAAATAAATAAAAAAAGAAAACACTAACCTTTGTTCCATGTCTACGTAGCCAGATGTCCGGGACATACGCGAAACAATTATCGATTTTAATATAACTCACTAAAAATCGTTCTCCCATATTGTCGTTGATATTTGACACATGTTACAAAGCAACGATTGTAAGCGCATAACAAAATGCGTGACAATACAACAATAGCATCGAGAAAACAACAGCAAACAATTACCTGTTTTTTTGCTCTCTCTCGCACTTTGGCGTTTTATGCACCGAAATAAAATACAATTTCACGTATGTATATAAATATATAAATATCTAACAAATGTTTATTACAATTATCGATATTAGTAATTTTTTTAGGTTAGGAAATTTAACTAATAAACTTTACGTTACACAAATAAGTTATTTCTTTACCCGGTCGGTAACTTTATAGACGTATGATAAATTTGATGTAAGATCAAAGGTTAATAAGCAGAGTAATTAAAAATGCATACTAATTTTATATAAAAAAAAATCCTTTAGCTAGTTTAGTAATTCATTTGTTTATATCGATAACATATTGCGTTCTGAATGCATCAAATTATTTTAAATGATGTATATGTTTTCAATAGGATGCCAAATTTATTTTGTTTTTTTTTTTTTACTTGTTTGTTGTACTTTCTTATATAAGGTCACTAACCTTGAAACGCTAAACCCGAATATCAGGTGAAAGAAAAAATTCTACACTAAAAAATATTATATTTGATTAGGAACTGAAAATATAATATTGTAAACGAATTATTAATAACAACTTTAAATTTTTACTCTTTCCAATTTTTGATAAATAAATAATTTCTTCGTGATCAAATTCAAAAATGTCTTCAAACGTTTTGAATTTCACTCTTAACAAAAAGAAAATATAAAAATAATGTTATTCAAATATTACTTCGCGTGTGATTTACAAAATTATAATATAATTAATTACGTTGTATATTACGTATAATTATATTGTATATAATTTACTAATAATCTTTTTTTATTTTTATCAACAAAAAAAAGTTATAATAATTATCAAAGATTTGTTTAAATAAATTTATCGAAAACTAGAGATTAACTCGTTCATATATCCAAATTTTATTACAAAAATAATAAATTCAAATGGTCCTAGATAATTTCTCCTAGCCCCCCAAAAAATAGAAATTAAAGTTTGTGCAACTTGAAAAAAATTTGTAGTTCCTTCATAGATAGCAGGTCGATCGCTAAGCTCGCATTTTTATTGGCCCTCTTAAATTATAATTGTCCAATCGTAAGATATACGTGTATCAACTGTGATATTTTGAATTGTTTTGAAGCAGCGTCAACTACAGTTGCTCTATAGAAAGATTGAACAACTTACTAACGTTCTGATCGCATAGAAATCATCTAAATGTGAAAGTTCATACATTTTTCATTATTATATACATAAATACTTATTTTCTCAGGTAACTTTTATTTATATATCTTTGGTTTTAATATTATAACCTAAAAGTATCAATATATCCATCTAATATTCTAATCGTCGAATGTTATCTTTGCTCACGTTGGTTTCTCTTGTAATAAACTCAAAGTTTCACAAATTTCTTAATTCTAAACTCTCTATTTCATTTATACAATACTCGAATAAAGCATGTAATGTCTATAAATTATAAATTTAATACAATATTAATATCCTATCATCTATCACAAATATAATCATTTCCGTATTCCCGCGTTTTTTGATTTCGTTGTACGTGCAGTTTTTTTTGGGGTAAATTTTTAGAAAAAAAAAAGAATGTAGAATCATGATAGAAGATATTTGTTTGATAATTAATTAAACTCAGATTGTTGCAGGCTTGTTACAAATGTAAAAGTTATTTGGAAAAATATGCGCGTGTATCGTATGATTATATGTTTATAATAATCTCAAATTTCGGTTTCTTTTTTTTTTTTTTTTTTGTAGAAATTTATCAAGAAATTTTGTAGTTAAACAATAATTAAAAAAAAAAAATGGTTCCACGAAAATCGGTACTTGGACAAATCAAATCAAATGGTAATACTAGATTATTAAGACAAGGAATTTCAACGAGAAGTCAAAATGTAAAAATCAATAATTCAAATATAAAACAACCAATTATTAACAAAGATAATCGAGGTAAAAGAAAAGCAGAAGGATCACCGTTGAAAGATAAAACTGTTAAAAGATCTGCGTTAGGAAATATTACTAATGTAAGTAATGTTTCGTTTATATTAAACACAAGAGAGTATATTATTTTTTTTTTAAGTACTAATTTTTATCATTCCTTTGATTTATTCAGGCCATTGGAAAACAATTAGGAACACAACAACAACAACCTGAACCAAAGAAAGTAGTTAAAAAAGTTGCTACTAAAACTAAAGCACGTATTCTAACTAATGAAAATAAAGTTGTAACAGAGAAAATATTTCCGAAACAAGATGTAGCACCAGTAACTAAATTAAAGCCAGTACGAGTAAAAATAGTTAAACATGATGAAGAAGAAAATAAAATAATTAATAATAATGTAAAACCTATTAGGCCTAGCTTAGAATCCGAAAAATCATCTGAGGATAGCTCGTTATATATGAGTGCATTGGAAGAATCAGAAAATAGTATTAAAAAATCTGAGAGAGTAAATAACAAGGTAAGTTTTGATCAATGTTAATTATATCATTTTCATATACATATAATAAATTAATTTAATATCATACTCTAGCATTTATATGGCTACATAACTGTATATAAATATATAAGTTTAAAATGCATGTACATTTAGGCTGATATAAATGAAAAAAATGAAAATGAACAAAATGAAATTGAGAAAAATGAAATAAACGCAAAATTAAATATTGACGATACTACGAAAGATAAAGTAGAAATACCGTTTATTCTCACTACAAAACATTTGGATCCTATACCCGAAAGGATATTACCGGAAGGCGTAGAATGGGATTTTGACATAGAAAATTGGTTAGATCCATTTCAAGTATCACAGTATGCTATGGACATTTTTAATTATTTAAAGGATCGAGAATGTTTATTTCCTATTGGTGATTATATGGAAAAACAAGTATGCCTTTCACGTTGGATGCGATCACTTTTAGTAGATTGGATGGTTGAAGTGCAAGAATCATTTGAACTCAATCATGAAACTTTATATTTGGCTGTGAAATTAGTGGACCTTTATTTAACAAAAGTCACAGTTGGTACGGAGACTTTACAACTTTTAGGCGCTTCCAGTCTTTTTATAGCCAGTAAATACGACGTAAGTTAAATTTACGTCGTAAATAAATCCAAATTTATTAATATTTCTTTATATTGATTATAATCTTTTTATGTATATATATGTTTGTATAATTAGGAAAGGATACCTCCAATGGTTGAAGATTTCTTGTATATATGTGACGGCGCTTATACGCAAAGAGAACTTATAAAAATGGAAATAAGTGTTTTAAAAGTAATAGATTTTGATTTAGGCATACCTCTTTCATATAGATTTCTTAGGCGATACGCTAGGGTATGTATTTCATTTATTTTATTATTAATCGCATAATAATAAAATGAAATAATAATTCAATTTTATATTTATATGTATATATATACATATATATATATATAGTGTGGAAAAGTATCAATGCCAACGTTAACTCTGGCTCGATTTATCTTGGAATATTCATTGATGGATTATTCGACCATTAGGTTTAGTGATAGTAAACTGGCAGCGTCTGCACTTCTACTTGCACTTCAAATGAAAGATTTAGGTGGATGGACTCCAACTTTAGAATATTATAGTGGTTATAAAGTTGATGATCTACGAAATATTGTCTATGTTTTAAATGAAGGATTACATAGAAAACATAAAGAAGCATTAGTAACAATTCGCAATAAATACAGTCATAAGTAAGTAAACGTTTTTAATATTATTATGAATATTATAATTATTATAAAATATGATAGAGAAAATAATATCTGTAAAATAAATATCCCCTGCAAAATTTATGAATTAAACTAAAATTTATTTACTTTATTTTTTTTTAGGATATTCTTCGAAGTAGCAAAACTGCCATTAAAAGATACACTAGATATTTAAATACTTTTAATAAACGTTTAAATGTAGATAGAGATATTCCTATAATTATTCCAAAACACATAAATTTGATTAACTGTTATTAGTTGATCTTATGCGTAAGCAAAAATGTTATCATAATCAACTCACATGCATTAACGTTCAGATCATAATGATTGAACACAGTTTATATAAGGATAGGAAAAAAAGATAATATTTCGGTGTAATTTTAATTACTATTGTGAAATGTAAAAATAGTTTATATTGATGAATGACATAGAAGCTCAATTAATGCTTCGCATAAAAATTATCTTCTAAAAGTCAATACAAATAATCTTCGTTATGCATCTGCCTGTTTTTTTTTATTATTATTATTATATTATTATTATTATTATTATTTATAGTAAACAATATCTTCTTTATCGTCCTATACCACGATTTATTTTATAATTTTTTGTTAACAAAAAAAAAATTTATTTTAACGTCACACTTTTTTACTTCCAGACAATGTTTATAACACAAAGTGTTTTAAAATATGAAAAGATTGAGATGTGCATCATTTATTTATTATTATTATTATTATTATTATTTTTTTCTTTATTTTCTTTTTTGCAGGTCTTTTTCTTTTTGTTTTTTTGTTTTTCTGTTTTTTTTTTTTTTTTTTTTTTTTTTTATATTTCTTTTTTTTTTTTTTTTTACAACATTGTATACTCTGTATTGTAACAAACCAACAAATTGTTATAAACTTACGAATTAGATTTTCTAGAAATTTATTTTCACTACATGATGTTAGATCAAAAACAAAATTTAGCATAGTCCTTAAAGTATATTCGTGTGGCGTATTGTTATGCATTTATACATCTTAGATTTAAACTGATAAAGAATGTGTAATGGACGAATATTTATCAAATTTTTCAGTATTCATACAGAATGTGTCCTTATGATGATTCCATAGTATTTTAATATATAATAATCAAATTTGATAAATATTATAAGTAAGAAAAAAAACAACAACTATAACTATAGTAGCATGCTTTTACTTTTAGAAGTTTCGTAAAAGAAAAAAATAAATGTTAGTACGTTCGTTGTAATAATCAACAAAATGTTGGATCAAATATTTTTACAACGATATATATATATATATAAAGTAACGATGAAATAAATTATTATATTCTTCTACTCCTATTTTATTTATATTGAAATATATAATATACCGTGTCACTTTAAATATCAATTTTGTTGTTGCAACCAAGCTAAGTTGCTTGTTTTGCAACCAAGTAATGAAGTATTCCAAAGCATAACAAAACATAATTAATTATTATATAAATTGAAAATCATATTTACACTTATATTCAAATTTCTTATTTATATATATATATATATATATATACTTATATATGTATATATATATCTATATATATATATACATACATAGAAAAAAAAATTAATAAGTAAACAAATTACTACCACCTGTGATATAAAACATTTCGTAAAAATATCGCATATTTTCAAGTATTAATTGCACATACTACAAAAATTTTCTATTTTATAACAATATAACTTGTATATTAACAAAATTCAATTTATATTGTGTAGTAGCAATTAATAATTTTTTAAATATATATCACAAATTCACGCATGTAATTGTACATACTGGTCATTTGTAACTAATGTATACATATCAATCATAAATTGGAAACAAATTTTGAAAAATAAAAGTTGAATTAAGAGATTTGGCATCCGTGATAAAATTTACTGAAAATTTAGGTGGTGTAAATATATATAATATATATATATATATATATTTTATAATTATCGAATATGTAAGTGTCTATGATTGTATAAGTTTGTATGTCGACCATTATAAATAATAAAACCATATAATTTTGTTATTTTATTGAGTTTATTATAAATCTAAACAAACATTATGTTAAGTGAAATTGACAATATAATAATAAACCTTACATAATGTTCGTTTAAATACTTTTTTAAATTATATTTTGTAATGTCATGCTTTCAATTCATTATTGCTAGATTTTTAATATATACATTGTATATATATACAATGATATCTATATACATGATAAATTTGAAATTAAATCGATTATATCAATAACTTACAAACAATGTATAATAAAGGAGCAGTTTTGTTTTTCTTTATAAATAATTTTTATTCTAACATTTGTAATAAATATTTGATAACGTACTCTTGAGATAAAAATAGGTTCATCTATGTTTTTGTTATTGTTACTATAATTATTATTATTATTTTTTTTTTTTGACATGCACAATTAGTATTAATATTATTTATACATACAAATAGTATAATTAGTATTTTTAAACTATAAGCAAATCTTATGGTACTAAGTAACTAAAAATACAAGTTTTATCATATTTATCTCTGTATATATTATCTACAAAATATAGATTTTCAATTAACTTTTGTATATAATATTTTACTGGAAATACCTCTTTTCTCTTTTATATGTTAAACTTTATATTTTAAATTATTTATTACTCTCTCTTTCTCTCTCTCTCTCTCTCTCTCTCTCTCTCTTAAACATTTTCTTCAATAATTCTTATAACATTTCTTTTTTTCTTCTATTATGGTAACAATTGCTAGCAAAAAGATACATCTTTCCTTATATATATACAATTTATTTATTTAAATAAAAATTATATATAATTGAGAAAATTAGTATTGTATATCACAATTTTGTCAGTCTTACCATACCACCTAATGGTATGCATTTAAAATGTTTTCTTAACATAGAACAAATGTTTTATTCAACAGTTCATAATTTAGAGCAAATTATTATTAAAATAATAACTGAAAAATAAAACAGTTCTATCAAAATTAAGATACATTCTAAACGCTAACCATATAATATATGTCATAGGTATTTTATAATATTGTTATTAATTATATATCCAAGTACCTAGCATCGTTAACATTTTTTCGTATATTATATTAATACTAAATGAATGGCTAATGATTAAAAGGAACCATGTGTGTAATGTTTATACGTTGATACTGAGATTTGAAAATACTAATTGTAATTGATTATGACTATAGAGAGACAAAACACATATTTTGAAGAATATATATATATATATATAAATTATAAATAATAAAAAATTTGAATTCACATATAATTTAAAAACTTTTCACAAAATCTTTCTTATCGTTTACATTCTAATTTAATCGATGTTTTTTCTATAACAGAAGAAATTCTTACCTTTTGTCAAAGTGCTTCTTGTCTTGATACTCTTCTAGCTTGCAAACGATCACAACGTTTACATTCTAATTTATTAAACGTTGTTTTACATTCATTATGGAAACAAGCTCCACAAATTTCACATCGGGTAATTTTGGACAATTCCCATGGAAATATCACGTCTTTGGAGTAACATATTTCGCATACAAATCCTCTTGCTTGACATAACTGTGAAATAAATTATACAAAATTATATTTAAATATTGTAATAATAATAATAATAATAAAATAGAACATAAAATAACGTAACTGTGAATACATGCAAGCACATGAATAATTTTGAATAAAAATATTTCATACCTCACAAGCGGTAACATGAGCATTACACACTTCGATCAATTCTTGTAATTGCATGGGTAATATTCCAAGCTTAACGTACATAAGATCTTGTATAGAGTATATATGTGGATCATTTATAATATAATTTGGCTCTTTCTTTAAAATATCTTGAACGCTGTTTAAATATTAAAGTACATATTAAAAATGATTTAATCATGAAATAATTACAAATATCACATTTCAAGTTACAAGTAATAAGAAAACTTACTTCGCTGCAAATCGGCAAGTATACAAAAAATCTTTAAGGAAATATAACTTCGTGCGTAATATTCTTGTTCTTTCTAATTGTTTTATACGTCTGTACAATGAAACATTTAAATCTTGAATTTGAAACAATGGATCAAGCATCATTTGGTCTAATAATCTGTATGAAAAGTTAGACACAGGATACCTTAAAATAATATAAATAAATTTAACATATTTTAAATACAATACAGAATATATTTTGATATAAATATTTTAAAAATACCTATTAAAATCCCATTTAGATAATATTTTTCCTGGTATTAGAGCAACTTGATTCGTATGACAGCCAGTACAAAAATATCTACCCAAGTATTCGCAATATCGAAACTTGTTAGAATATTTAACTGCAACTTTCATACCACAACCTGCACATCTATAATTCTGTTTAGCTATTAAAGTTCGTCTGCTGTAAAAAAATACATTGATGAAATTATTATAACATATGTAATAATTTAATAATCTAATATTAACAAAAAAAATATATAATTATAAATACTTACATAGGTGGAGGATGTGGAGTAAATATAATCTGTGGTCTGGGTGGAGCCCATTCTACAGTTCCACGTAATTGAATAGAATCTTCCTTTTCAACTTCATCCGGACTAACAGGCCAACTTTTTGGTAGAGGTAATAATCGTTGTGGAGCATCTTTTTCAGAAACAAGCCATTGCAATTCGCTTGCTCGTGGTAACTGCTTTTCACTAAATCTACTAATAAGCGACAATGCTACACCTTCTGCAGATATAATACTTTCATTTTGCGACAATTCTAAACCTTGCTTAAATTGATGTAAATCAGCATCAGAATATAGCGAAGCCATAGATGCAGATATTCCAGAATTGTTCAATTTAGTCATATTTGCATTATCTACTTCTATATCTTCTACATCATCCGTTGAAATACTATCAGATGGAGTATTAGAAGAAGTTGATAAAGGACTCACGCTTTGATCTGTAGTTGTTGTATCAGTCTTGCCATCGCTGAATATATCACGATTCCATGTTCTTCCTCTACATCGTTCTTCTTGACGCTGACGTCGTCTAATTCGTATTCTTTGTTTAAGATTATTAATTTCTTCATCGCTATCTTCAACGGTTTCATCCACAAGACACCATTGTCTGTTACATTTGATTTGTTCAATAGCAGCTATCATAGCTTCGGAAATACTAAAATGTGCATTTTCCCTATCTAATTCAGCATTAGCTTTAGAAAATTGTGCCGATGACAAAAAACTTGTCAAGCTTTGTCCTTCTATAGGCCTTGGAAAAAATCCTGTAGCCATCGGTTGAACACTACTCCCACCATCCTCCATAAAACTTTTCTTTGGCGTTCTAATATCCTTTTGTCCTTCTATTTCAACTGACCACGAATTAGAAAACTCCGGTGCAGATCTTGGTAAAAATGAACTTATCTTTTTAAATTTTCGGTTTATTTTGATACCACCATTCGTTCCATGTTTCCTTAAATTTACTCCATCTGTGGTTTCTGACGAAATACAATGTTCTTCAACGACCCCTCTTATCGAATCTTCATAATTTAAAGTACTGCTACTTCCGCTAGAAGTATTTAACATTCTTTTATTCTCTTGCGCTATTTTTATTTTGTTTCTCATTTTTCTTGTAGGAGTCTTTGGTTTAGTTGCTACTTTTTCACTTGACGAATTCATTGATTGTTTAACATCCGAGTAATTAATGTGAATTATTTTTGACAACTCAACGGAAGGTGTTTGAATCTTAACAGTTTTGTGCACACATGGATTTTTGGTAGAGTTTAAAACAGTTTCTGAAGAACTGTTATGAGAATCCTCTAATGTTGGAAGACTACTCCAAGTTTTCAAAGAAATATCATAAACTTTATCATTCTTATTTATATTGCTTTTATTATTAATATCTTGATTATGTTGAGACGCTGTGTTTTTAACACTTCTATTTGTATACGATAACTGACCATTTGTTTGAATATGTAGTTTCCTTTCTCTAAGTATACCCAAAGTCGTAGAACAAAAGTTTGCAGGATAAGATGAGGAACGTTTATGTCTTTTAGGACTTAAATTAGAAGAGACCCAATTTGGTTGAAACTGTAAAGATTAAAATTTAACACAACTTATTAAAAATAATTATATATGCACAACTAATTCTACATCTAAGTTAAATAAAAACTTACTAAACATGGATCGATCTCTGTTAGAAGTATTGGTTGGTTTCTTTCTACTGCTCTTAAACAAATCAAAGTAGCTTCGGCTAATTTTTCTTGACACAAGAAAGCCCATGGTTCCAGACAGGAAAGTAAATGTTCCTTATCGGATAAAAGCCAAGATAGTTTGTGAGATAAGCTATGATTTTCTAAACTGTAAACAAATAGCGTTGTTTTATTTCTTAATTATTAAAAACTATATTTATTCGTATCTTTACCTTTTGTACAGCCATAACATATCTTTCCGAGAAATGATTTTGGTTGGTAAATTAGAAAAATAATCTTCATTTTCAGATATTATGGGTGATGACACTAATGACGGTTGAAGCCAATTTAATCCTTGAATAAAAATCCAACAATTCGGTTCACCCTGTAAATTTCAATTTTCAACATTACTATAATTTATTTTAAAAAATAAACATTTCAGAGAGTTATCATTTAATAATATACTAATGAAAATATTATATTTTATTTTTTCAACACAAATATTGATGTTACATCTTTTACTTACATTAGAATTAAATATACGAAAGCCATGTTTGAAGATTTGTTCCATTGCATTGTGTAATCTATTTAAACCACCATAAACATTCCATACATTTGCTATACCATCAATAAGTAACCCTTCCACGGTAAATCTGAGGTTTTGTAGAAGTTGCCATTGTTCTTTAACGTGTGTGTTTTCACACATTTTTCTGATTATACAAAAATATATTACTATGAATAAATTAATTTGTTTATGTATACATCAAAACAATAACAAAATAAGAATATTATATTTCAAATGAGAATATATCTGAAATCATTATACATAAATGTTGAATGATATTGCTTGCAACAATACACGTTATCCAATATCTCTTCATGACGTTTAAATTCTATTCAATTATTTTGTATTCAAGTATTTTCATATTTTAATGTATTTAAATCAATTTTGTCTTGTAATAATATCAACAGAGATGCAAATATTAATTCATCGTTGTTTACAACGTCCATCATCCACGATCACATGCCAATTACTGCTAATTTAAATAAAGGTTAGAATAATGTTGTCCTACTAGACCTTCAAGTTCTTTTTTTTTTTTTTTTATCGTATGACTATGATGCATCTGCGCAGTCTTTTCCTGTAATTAGGTTAAAATCTTCTAACTATAAGATAGATAACTATCTGCAATTTTCATTTTATATCTGCAATGTTAGATGGCGCAACAAATTATCTGTGTAACTAACTGTGTATATATGTGTAACAAATTTACTAACACATATTTCAAATATTTAGAAGAACGTTAGAAAAATAATATGTTTAAAAGTAAATAATAAAACATGTAAATTACATTATAAACACTGTAATAAAAGAATTCATCTAATCAGGGAGAATTTTAATTCCTTTTAAAATCTTTTTATTTGCTTAATTTCATCAGATTGAAAGAAAAAAATGTTGACAGTCTTAATTTACATGCTGTAAAGTACAATGATTAAATACATTCTGTTCTTAATATATACATTAGAGTAAACATTCGAACTTAATGAAAAAATTGTTACTAATAAGATAATCAATGTACATTTCAAGATTCATAATGTTTATATATATTTTTTAATGACAATTCGTTTGTGTTAAACAAATACCACTTTTATAGATACAATTCGATTGAAGTACATTTTTCATGTATGACAATGATAAAGAAATAAAATCGATGAAAACAATTAACAAAATTTCCATCGATTTCCACATTCGTTGCATAATACAAAGGTAGTCATAGGTTCATCAGCTGACCGCGTTTGTACTTGATTATAGGTACAATTACGTTTTTTGCATTTACCACATTTGAGTAAATCAGTTTTAGTGCCTTGTACAGTAGCAAGTTGAGCATTATTAATTGCTTCCTTTTGGAATTTTTCCCGTAATTGTTTTATTTCATCACTTGCCATTTCCTCGGCAGTCATAACAGCTAATCGTGCTGGTGTAATAGCACCGGCAATGAAATTCGTTTTTAAACTAGGATTTTTAACATCACGTAAATTTGCAACTCTACTGCGAACCTGTAAAATAAATATACAATATAACGTATAAGCAATATAAGCAATTGATAAATGGTTTATTTTATATTTTCATTTTTTTATTATTTACCCTATTTTTGTATCTATTATCAGTATTCTTGAATTCTGCATATATTGCTTCTTCTAATTCTTCTGCTAATTCTTCTGGACTAGCACAACCATCAACAGTTTTATCATCTACTCTCAATGCGGCAGCTAACAATTCTCTACATTTTAATCTTACAGCATCTGTTGTAGTAGGAGCTGGAAATGATGCTTGTTTTCTTTGTAGATCTTTATTAGGCTTTTCTTCTTTTATTTTTACATCATTTCCATCCACCATATCTTTATCTTTCTTTTGATCTGTTTCATCTTTATTTTTCTCTGACTTCTCTTCTCTTTTTTTTGAACTACTCGAAGTAGTAGAATCTTTGTCTTTATTGGATCCTGAAATGGAATTAATAATAATTATGAAATAAAACATACAAAATGTTATTATTTTTTTATCAATATATTTTTTCTACAATTAAATGTAATTTATACTTACCAGATAAAAATTTTTTCCAATTTTTAATAAGAGTCTTTGATAATGAAATGACTTCATCGTCTCTACTTGATTTTCTCAAAGCATTTACTGTCATGCCGATTCTTGTTTTTGTTAGAAGCTCCAAATCAACAGGAAGTTTCTGTAAAATTTTAAGAAGCTCCAAAGCTTGCTCTTGACCCTGAAAGAAAGAAGGAAAAAAAAACACTCAAAAGTAACTAAAATATTTGTTATTTAAAATACTTATCTTTTAATAGTTTTCCAAAGTATCATATATAATTTATATTCTATTAAAAATAACAAAAATTTTAGAAACATTTCAAATGATCTTTTCAATATTAGTAAAAAATTCAAATACATTGAATTATGAACTTCGGATATTACACTTTGAACATGCACTATAACTTTATTGTACTATATTAATCAAAACACAATTGTTTACTTGTAGATAAACATATGTTAAACTTATTTCTTATATGTAAATAATATATTTAAGTAACAAATCTTAAAAGATTCAAACTTTTATTCTTAAAATGCTATTCCCTTTTGATTTAATTCATCGACATGTTCAAGCGATATTCAACTAGGTTAATTTTACTCACTTACTCACCGTCCCGTCACCACTTGACATTTTGTTTAATTTTTTTTGAATTCGTAAAACCTCCTCTTCGGCAGTCATTGTTAAAACGGACTAGTTTTTACTTAAAAATTAATATAAATACACAAAATAATGACCGAACAACAAAACTGCAACGGTCGTAATATGATCATGTATCATATAAACATTCAAGGGAATCTAGCCAAGTGTTGAAAATAGACGCGCCATACAGTAATTTAACACAACTGACCAATCATAAAATGTTTACGTGGTCAATGGCTGCGCCAATCAAAAGGCATGTCCACAAAGACTGTCCAATCACGTGGTAGTATCTAATGAGAATGCACCATACAACCAAAATTAACCAATGATTAAAAGTAAACTAGACACTCACGTTTTATATTTCTATTTGATTAATATTTTTTGTAAATAATTTTTATCAAACTTATAACACACAATGAAATACAAATAGAAATTATTTGAAATAATTCTAAGGTATATAAACTTGATGTATAAAATTTCTATAATAAATATAGAAAAAATGATTACATAATACATACATTATTACAAATGATTTTATTACGATTTTTTCGATTGCAACGACTACAAATGTAATAATTACAAATTTATAAATTTTTTTATTGAAAACAAGTAATATATTTATTTATATATTTGTTGTATCTTTGTATAAAATAATAATAAATCTAGAATAAATTTACATACAACAGTTCATTTATATGAAAAAAAAAAAAACAACAAAAAACAAAAGAATTGATTTATAGTATTACATAAAATTTTATATTACAGGAATTTTAATTATATTGGAATGAGTGAACGAGCTAAAAGTTGTTATTTAAGAAGTAACAGTGAAACTTTATCAACTGTTTATTTACCTGATTCTTCTCCGATTTTTATAGGACGTTCTGAAGGAACTAATATTACTGATATAAAATGTTCAAGAAAACAAGGTCTAACATATATTATTAATATATTTTAATTTTTAAATATTTCCTACCTAATTTATTGTATATATAATATAAATCAATTTGCGCGCGTATATTTTGATTCTTAAAATTCTTATTATAAATTTATAATTTAATTTTAATTTAAACATTATTTTCTATTAATTTTGTAGTTAGAGTATGTGCAGATTATAAGCAACATATAGTAACGGTTCAACAAGTTGGTACAAGAGCTTGTGGTGTAAATGGCTTCAAAACTAAAAAAGATGATAGATTAATTGCCAAACATAATGATAGATTAGAAATTTTATATGGAAAGCACATATATCAAATAGAATTTAATCCACCACCTAAAGAACAGAATGATCAAACATTGGTAAAAAAAAGATCTTATGATTCGGAAGATGAATTATTAAATACAGAAATAACGAATTCGTGCAAAATGCGCAAAATAGAAGATGAAAGTAATACTATCGTACAAGAAACGATTAGCAATGAAAATAATTATTCAATAAATGGAAAAGATAATAATGAAATTAATGCTATTGCATCAACATCTAAAGAAAATGATGTAGATAATAGTACAATGAAAATAACAGGATTGTGGGAAAGTAATAAAGAATTATTAATATATACTCCACAAAATGTGCAAAATCGTTCAAAGGTAATATTTGTGATCAAAAAGATATAATTGATTCTAATTAAAAAAAAAAAAAAAAAAGAAGAAATCAAATAATTAGATATGTATAAAATACTTTCTTTTTACAGATAGCTGCATATGACATGGATGGCACATTGATAAAAACAAAGTCTGGTCTTGTATTTCCAAAAGATGTTAATGATTGGCAATTGCTATATCCTACAATACCTAAAAAATTAAAGCAATTCTATGAAGATGATTACAAAATTGTCATTTTTACTAATCAAGGAGCTCTTGGTACAGGAAAAGTAAAAGTGGAAGATTTTAAAGTAAAAGTTGAAAAAGTAGTAGAAAAATTAGGTGTTCCTATTCAAGTAAATATTTCTATATTTCTAAAACATTGAATAATATTATAATTCTTTTTTACTTATGAAACATTTTAAATTATAGGTCTTCATTTCTATAGGAAAAAGTATATATAGAAAGCCAGCGCCAGGAATGTGGAATAAATTTGTCAACGATGTATGTACAATATAAGAATGTTCCATATTTGGAAAAATATTATTATTATTATAATGATGATATAATTATTTCTGTTTTCTTTTTTTTAGAAAAATGGAAATATCAGTATAGATAAATTAAATTCTTTTTATGTTGGAGATGCGGCAGGTCGACAAAAAAATTGGGCACCTGGTAAAAAGAAGGATCATTCTAAAGTAGATCGTTTAATGGCTATAAATATAGGCTTACAATTTCAAACCCCAGAAGAACATTTTCTTGGGCATAAAGTTGCACCATATATTTTACCTACATTTAATCCAAAAGCATTGCAAAAAGATGCTAATCCAACTGATGCTAAAATTACTTCGCAACAACAAGAAGTATGTATTACATAATATAACAAAAATATTTTCACTTTCTTTTTTTTTTTGTTTTTTTAATTTTTATTTCAATTTTTTTTTTATTATATAATTGTATAAAAATAATAATTGTTTTATAAATACAACAGATAATACTCATGGTTGGTAGTCCTGGCTCTGGAAAATCTCATTTTGCTAAACATTATTTAATTGACTACGATTACATTAACAGAGATACTTTGGGAAGTTGGCAAAAATGTATATCTACTATGGAACAATCTTTGATTAAAGGAAAACGTGTTGTTATAGACAATACCAATCCAGATCCTGCCTCACGTGAAAGATATATTACAGCGGCAAAAAAATATAATATTCCAATTAGATGTTTTCTCATGACAACAAGTACTGAACATGCCAAACATAATAATAAGGTAAAATAAGATATTTTTGTTTGTATATATTTCCTAATTTTATTTATATATTTCTAATATCATTTTATTTTTATTTATTTCTAGTTCCGTGAATTAGTTGATTCTAATCATGCTAAGATTAATGACATCATCATAAACTCTTATATGTAAGTAAAATGAAATTTTTCAAGTTACTATATCGTATTTGTTTTTTTTTTTATTACATTTCTAA